AATCAAAACTTTAACTCAAATAGTTAGAAAGTTTTTATTAAGTTAAGAATTATTGCTCCTAATCAAAACTTTAACTTATATAGTTAGAAGGGTTTTGTATTAAGTTAAGAATTGTTTTTCCTAACCAGAACTCTACCTTAAATAGCTAGAAAGTATTTATTAAGTTAAGAATTATTGCTCCTAATCAAAACTTTAACTCAAATAGTTAGAAAGTTTTTATTAAGTTAAGAATTATTGCTCCTAATCAAAACTTTAACTTATATAGTTAGAAGGGTTTTGTATTAAGTTAAGAATTATTTTTCCTAACCCGAACTCTACCTTAAATAGTTAGAAAGTTTTTATTAAGTTAACAATTATTGCTCCTAATCAAAACTTTAACTTATATAGTTAGAAGGGTTTTGTATTAAGTTAAGGATTATTTTTCCTAACCCGAACTCTACCTTAAATAGTTAGAAGGGTTTTGTATTAAGTTAAGAATTATTTTTCCTAACCCGAACTCTAACTCAACTCTAAAAACTGAGACGGCTAGTGCTTGCGGCTTTTTTGTTTAGATATATTTTCCACTTTGTTTTTTCTCTCCTTTCGCTTTTGAATTTTAAAATTTCAGTATATATATTAGTGGCTCATCTAAGGCCTTTCGGAAATATTCGTTTTAGTTTCAAATTAAAAGTGGCTCAGTTGTATTTCTGCGGACGTACAACGCTAAAAATCTGGTTTCGTACTCGTGGTGGGCACAGCACAGATAGCCTATTGTGTAACTCTGTGCTTAACTAGAAACAAACAAACAACCAGAAAAGACAATATAGAAAACATACATATGCGTTTATCTTGTGCATTAGAGAGTGCGTTAGGACTCTCTATGTATGGATGGCATGGACGCCTGTATTAAAGAAATACAAATATCATCTAGATTTTTTTTTCTCTACAGGTCACCAGAAGCTAGATATGAAGATCTACCTGTCATAGTCGCTCTATCTACGGTGTACATGCCGGTTTCAGCTATCCAGAGCGTTCCAAAATTGAAAACCGGTGAATAGCCAAAACCGAGATTTCTTATCTTCGCTCATCATCTTTCTTCAACAGGCCTAGCGTGTACCTTGTTCTAACAGTACCTATAATTTTATCATTATTTGACAGAGCGAAACAGTCTACACTCTCTTTGACTACCTATTTTATTATTATTCATACTTCATAACCTAGTAACCCACGTACACCATCTCATAAAAAAGTAAACAAACAAGTATTAGGAAAAAATTATCGCTAAACAAAAAAAGCTATGTAGGGTTGGCTACTGAACTTGAAAAAAAAGAACCAGTCAAGACAGGGATGGAAGCTGACATATCACTTGATCCAGCTAATGATCACATAACAGACTAAGCCGTCTCGACTTTACATGGAGAATAAAACCCCTACATTATTGGCTTTCTCACTAGCAAAACAAGTAGAACCAGAATTTTTTCAAACGTAAAATATTACACTTCTATCAAATAAAAATTAACTAAAGGAATGATGTAATAATTTTTCCTAACACTGTTAGGTATCTTTGCACCCAACTTGAATATGAAAACTTATAAGATCGTTTAAGTAATGTACAGTAAATTGTAAACTGCGAAGATAAATAAAGATCGTGAGTTATAACCAAATGCATTCATCGTCTACGAGTAAACTGAGTTTAGAATAACCACTTCGAAGATGGATAGAAGTTCATAACTTAATTTGAGTTACATGCTACATTTAATTATTTTACATTAGTATATCAGCTATTTTATTCTTCAAAGGCTGTTATACATTACATGGTGTATGATTCCTTCATCTGTGAGACATCAGAAAAATCCACATCGTGAGAAACGCCTCATTACTGATGTACATAAGAAACATCTGATATTTACGATATAGACATGGCATGAGTTAATCATTTTTGTTGAGAACTTAACTAAACATTTTCCTGTGCAGCCGATGCGTAGCTTTCAAAGACAGGTACATTATATCTTAATCACTACTGTCTCTGTCGTATTCCAGCAAGTTTGATGAGCCCTGGTATTAGGCGAAAGGCCTCGACGTCACGGGATATTAGCAGATATAATGTGGTTTACATGTTTTAACAGGCTGTTCTTTACTTTCAATCACAAATTCTTGAAAATATATTCTTCACTCTTCTGGAAGACTAAACCCCCTACGATGAGAATATTCCCTATACATTACATCACCGCCAGTACCTTACACAGCCAGCAGGGTTTAGTACCTGGTGTGGGATGTTTTCGTATCACTTCTCTATAGTCAGCGCTATAAATGTGAAACGTAGCTTATCAGAATAACATCAGATGTTTTCCGTCATTTAAACTCTGTGCTGTAAGCTTAGATCATAAATTTCAACAATGGATAAGTGGAAGAGCGTGAAGTGGTCTGATTTCACTCTTTTTCTGATGGTATAGTAAACATGTTCTGATAAAATCACACGAAGCACTTGATCCTGTTTGTGTTGATATAGTTGTCAAAGTTGCTGTAATGGTGTGGAGAACGTTTATGTGACAGGAGTTGGGTGCTTTGGTTTCTTTAAATGGTGAAAATCAACTAAAATAGAGGTTATGGCTGATCATGTCCAACCCACAACGTTACATTTCTACCCCGATGGAAAAAGTTTATTCCAATAAAATAACACAACAATAAAAAGTTTCTTCCAATAAAATGACACAACAATACACTGCACTCATATTGTTCAAAATAAGTTTGAGCACCTTGATAGTGACTTCAGTCACCTTCGTCACCAATATTCTCTCTCAACATCTATAAACTAAAAAATAAATATGAAGTCTAATCTATCATGCGATTCACCACTTGTTCCTGAGTTTTAGGAAATTCTACCTCTCATCATTAACCATGAACAAAGGCAAATTAATTTCAGACCCTATTTCATGAACAATGGACTACAATTCAACAAAAAATGTTTATGATTTTATGGAGATTAGTCAACTTGAGTGTGGGATATCTTAGCTGCAAAAGGTGGCCAAACCGTATAATCAGCGCAAGATTTAATGTCGAAGGTTAACAGTACAATAATGTAAATAGGTTAAGTACATAATGAAAATATATTATGTCATAATACTGTTACTTAAGAATATAAACTTGTGATGTTTGAAGGTTCATTCATTCTGAGTGTAGAATTCATGGTGTGATGAAGTGAAAAAAAAAGTTAAGAAATGAGAGTGAAAAATATTGGTGGAAAAAAAAGTGCCAAAATGATAGAAGAAAACAAGAAAGATTGAAAATTATAAACTATGAGATTATGTATGTAGACCTCTTTCGACTTCCAGAAAGTTCTGGAAGAGTTTTAAGAATTGAAAAAGGTAGTAAGGTAAAAACGCTCTTAGTTAGAGATAGAGAAGAAGTGGAAGGATTGAAAGCAGGGAAAAATTTAGGAAAGGAAGTAAAAGGAGGAAGTAAAGGTATGAAAAGTGAGGGGAAGCATGACCTTTAGGAACAGCAGGTCATGTTTTTCAGATATCATGTTTAGATGAGCTACTATTTTTAATTTCAAGTAGTCCTTTAGATGGACTCAGCTGCAAAGATGCTTACCAGGCTGAAGTGAAGAACAAAGCTCTAAAGGGGTGAACAAACTGACTGAACTAGTAGTTGGTCAGGTACTTTCTAGTCATTGGAAGACTAAAATTGGGACTTTACAGTTAATATTAAATTCAATTTGAAGCTCCAATGTAACATATAGTGCAAATTTTAACTGAAGAGAAAATTTTTTTAATGCTTTATTGAAAATATTTTTACGATTTGTTTATTGTTAAGCACGAAGCTACACAATAGGTTATCTGTGCTGTGTCCACCATAGGTTTCCAAACCCAGTGTTTTAGCGTTATAAGCCTCCAGGTTTACCACTGAGCCACATGGGGCATAGCATATTTATGAGGTTTGTTTTTGTTATGGTTTTCGCGCAAAGCTACGCGAGGGCTATCTGCGCTAACCGTCCCTAATTTAGCAGTGTAAGACTAGAGGGAAGGCAGCTAGACATCACCACCCACCGCCAACTCTTGGGTTACTCTTTTACCAACGAATAGTGGGATTGACCGTCACATTATAACACCCCCACGGCTGAAAGGGCGAGCATATTTGGTGGGACGCAACCCGCATATTGCGAGTCGAGCGCCCTAACCACCTGGCCATGCCGGGCCTTATTTATAAGGACACTAACCAATGATGCTAAACTTGTCAACAAAACAGATATGTATTAATAAGAATTGCCTCTTTATTATTAATGCTTGTTAACTTTTAGGTTAGAAAAATAATAATTATTGCAACTGCTTATTAAAACTTTACTAAATACACAGCATGATTAATCACTAACCTTATAAACAAAACAGATATGAATTAATAAGGATTGTCTCTTTATTATTAATGCTTGTTAACTTTTAGGATTAGAAAAATAATAATTATTGCAATTGCTTATTAAAACTTTACTAAATACACAGCATGATTAATCACTAACCTTATAAACAAAACAGATATGGATTAATAAGGATTGTCTCTTTATTATTATTAATGCTTGTTAACTTTTAGGATTAGAGAATTAATAATTATTGCAATTTGCTTATTAAACTTTATTATATAGCATGATCAATCAATAACTTTATAAACAAAACAGATATGGATTAATAAGGATTGTCTCTTTATTATTAATGCTTGTTAACTTTTAGGATTAGAGAATTAATAATTATTGCAACTGCTTATTAAACTTTATTATATAGCATGATTAATCACTAACAATTTATGCCGTAATGAAAGGGTTAGAATGAATTTTATTTTTTGTTTGTTATTAAGCACAAATCCACATAATGTACTATCTGTGCTGTGCCCACCGCAGGTATCGAAGACCCGGTTTTTAGCGTTATGAGCCATGGGGGGGCATGAAGTTTATGATTTTTGTTTTTAAGTTAAACATTGCTTGAATTTTTAATGCTAAAATTTTAGAAACCAGTATAGTTTTGATATTATCATACTATTTATTTACAAAACGCATTAAAATATCGCTCACGTGTGTGGTTTTAAAGGTATGCTTTTTTTTCCGAAATCTCCATGGATGATTCTCATTTAAAGATAAAGGTGTAATATTATTATAAGGTTTGAGACATAAGATCTCCATTTTAAATTACAAACGTTTTAAAAAAATATCATAACGTTTTAAGTACGTATTTCAGTCAGTTAAATGTTGTAGTTGTAAAGATTAATTTTATAAATGGTCTTAAATCAGGGAAATGAGTATCTTAAAATATTGTATAATATAGGTTTTTTAGTAAAAACATTTAAAGATTAGTGTACTTTTTTTTTCTTGCGTTTAAGTAAAACCAGTCCAACCTGATGGCCTAGTTAGAAATTAATCCTGGGCACAATTTGACCTCTGTGACGTTAATACCTAGGGACACCCCCAAAATACTTTTTTGTTTTGAAGCACTTTTCAACTTAATGTTTGCATCAAAGTTAACTACAAAAAAGCAGAGAACGTCAGTTTATAAAAACACACGTTATTCAATTTTACACAGTTCATATAGAAGTTAAAAGGATTTTTTCTAACTTTAGCTTCAGTGAATAAAGCATGTGTTTAAAAAGTGACGTAGTTTAAAGAAGGGTACATTGACGAGAAAATTTCAAGGTTAGCTAAGTTGTAAAATTCACCACTCTAGAACTTATTAAACTACAAAGGATTATGGTGTTTTAAATCAGGTTGTTTAGGTTTTAGTTGTCAGGGATATATGTTTTTTTTTGTTTTTTTTTTGTGGGTAATATCCTCAGTTTGAACAAATCTACATCTGTTGATATTAAGGCATTTACCTTCTTATAAAAAAAGTTCCGCCTTCCAAGTTTGTTTCACACCTGTGCGCATCTTTTCATCATGGGAAATACATCTGATTAGGAAGTTTCAACTTCCGTGTCTGTTTCACACCTTTGTGCATCTGTTCATTATGGAGAATACCCCTTGATTAAAGAGGTTCCCTTTTAAGTAAATTTCACACCTGTGCGCATCTTTTCATCGTGTGAAATACACCTGATTAGGAAGTTTTAACTTCCGTGTCTGTTTCACACCTATGTGCATCTGTTCATTATGGAGAATACCCCTTGATTAAAGAGGTTCCCTTTTAAGTAAATTTCACACCTGTGCGCATCTTTTCATCGTGTGAAATACACCTGATTAGGAAGTTTTAACTTCCAAGGCTGTTTCACACCTATGTGCATCTGTTTATCGTGGGGAATACCCCTGAATAAGGAGGTTCACCTTCTAATTCAATTTCACATCCATATTCATCTGTTCATTATGGGGAATATCCCCAACTACGAAGTTTTAACTCCCAAGTCTGTTTTACACCTATATGTACCTGTTCGTCTTGGGAAATACCTCTGATTAAGACGTTCTGCCTCTAAGTCTGTTTTACATCTGAGCTTTGTATGCAAGAAAAGAATAAAAAAGAAATAATCACTATAATTACTAATCAAATTTATAAGAACAAAATATATTAAATCAGTACGTTTTCCCAATTGTCAACTTAAAAAAAATGAGTTCTTATTCATAAACTTTAGACTTAACTAGATTTTGTAACAGCCTTTTGGGAATTAATTCAAGGTTCCTTAACAGA